AAATTTAGCGCCTTTTTACACGTCAGAAATACTCAACTGCATTGATAGCGTGAGGATGTAGTATGACTAAACGACAGTCTACTACAGCACAAATATGCTTATCAACTAAGCTGTTCGTTTCAAATCGTAAAGCTAAATTTGGCTTTTTTATATTTTGGCCTTTTTTCTATCGTCACACCCCGATAACTCGAATGCCCCTTGATCTCGACACTTTATGTTTGTATTTCAAATACACCGAAAGTGTACTACCCTACACCCAATTAAAGAAACAGTTATCTTTTTACAGGCACTGGAGGTTCGGCTTATTCTTCAAAAATTACAATTCAAAACCCACAAGGGAGGATGCTTGAGATACAAAAGTCATACAGTGGTAATTTATTAAGGCCATTCTTCAGGGGAGTTTGAGACGGGAGTATGAGAGACAAAATATATTTACACAAAAATTTGAGCATCCGGCAAAGCAGGAAAAATACGAGGATCAAACAAAAATTTCATGAATTTGCGAAGTTTCCATTTGTAAACTGATGTATCCGAAATTGTCCCTTAAAAAATATCGAACAAAAGCATAATAAAAAAATACTGCGGGGCAGCACTGCCATCGTGCAGTAGATCGAAGGTTCCTCTCCATCGCTAGGAAAACCAACCCCATTCAAGGTTCGACACCGCCAGTGGGAAAATCGATTCGTACATTCGCTTTGACGGTAAAGTGACATTGATACATGGCAGGAGTCAAATCCGCCACAAGCTCGCTTGTAAGCAACCCTCGAAAGAGAAGGCCATCTACAAGCTGGACAGCGGCTGGCTGCTGTTAGCATTTGCAATCATTTAGGCTACTTTAAGAGCGTTTCTACTTCTTACTGAAAGTGAATGCGGAGGGATCTTTAAGCACAAGGAATCTGAAATACGAAGCAAAAACATTTTAGGCTATTTGCCCTACTATCAAAAAATCCAATAAAAGTACCCAATCGGAAACGCATTGCTTCGGTGTGAGGGAATAGCCAGCGAACATTGCCGGATTTTCAAGCAGTCCGTTTGCTGACATAATGCCTGAAAGTGAAATGATAACACTGTGGCGTATTTCATGTGACCCAACTTCCCGGTACCCAGTAAAGCCAAATCCAATTTTCTCATGCCTCATCCTATATGTGAGTTCCGGAAGACAGTACGCGCTTCAAAAAAGTGTCGCTTTCGAGTACCGATGATTTCATACATATTCTTAGCTTCAGTGCCAACTCATCAGAACGCGAAAGATGCGACATAAAGTAAATAACTGGCCAAAGCACAAGCTGCCCGTACGAAAATGCATTTTTGGCATAGTTCCCCGCAGTTTTTGTCGCTACCGGCACCGGTTTTTCCGGCAAACGCTTCTAGCTAAACAAATCAAAAACGGCTGCCAAAATTGTCAGAAAACACCCCTTTAAAATTTCAGCTTTCTAGCTTTCCTGGCTTCCAAGTTAGCAACTTGCCCGAAAAAAACTTCCACCGGCCCGTAGGTGGGTACCACGCATACCCGGAGGCTGGTTTTGGACTCATTAAGACCTACGTGGACGGGGAACGTTCCCTTAAAATTTCAGCTTTCCAGCTTCTTTGGTTCCCGAGTTAGCAGCTTGCCGTAAAAAACTTTGGCGGGCTCGTACATGAGTACCACGCATAGCCGGGAGCTGGGTTTGAACTTTTTAATAGCTTCTTAGACGGGGAACATCCCTTTAAGATTCCAGTCTTCTAGCTTCTCAGACTCCTGAGTCAGAAAGTTACCCGAAAAGAACTTTGGCGAGCCCGTACGTGGGTACCAGCGTACCCGACGGCTGGGTTTGAATTCGTTAATACCTACTTGGACGGGGAATATCCTCTTAAAATTCCAGTATTCTAGCTTCTCAGGTTCCTGAGTTAGCAACTTGCCCGAAAAAAACTTTAGCGGGTCCGTATGTGAGTACCACACGGGCAAGAGCACCCATTTCGGAAATGGGGGACCGTACACGTATGTGGATTAAGTTCCTCAAGTTTCAGCCCTGTAGCTTTTGTTAGTCTCCAGATGAAAAATCGGTACAACGCGCAGCGCACACAGAAACACCCACAAACATACACACACACACACACACAGACAACCTCTCGCCAATATGCGTTTTCTGCATTGCATAACTGCAAAAAACGCATAAAAACAATAATTAACTCAGAAGCATGCGCAGTACAATATGTTTCGAAAAAATTAAACTCTCAATAACCATAAGAAAATGATACCATCTACTCCCGTGTATTTCGCAACTTCCAGTGCCTGTTTGTAACTTTTTACACCGCCATTTGCAATCACAGGGATCGACAAACTTGATTTGATCAGCTTTATCATGTCAAAATCGGCTGGTTCCGAGCGTTGTTCAGGAGTTCTCCCATGCACTGTTATAAATGATACGCCTGCGCTTTCGGCTCGACGACACGTTTCCAGAGTTAGCTGCTGACTTGCTTTTAATCGGATTTTAATGGAAATCTGAAATATGGACATTCTGTTCATTATGTGTAAGAGAACACCGAAGCTTCATTCTTTGCCTGCTTCTGTACTGGTAATGCACCTTCGAGGGTAGGAAAAAGGAGAGGAAAAGGGAAAACGACAATTTTTAACAGTTGCTGGTAGCACATGACAAATAATTTTTCTTTTCACCCTCTAAAACCCTCATACTCATAAAAATGTCCCATTGACATTCATTCAGCGTAACACAGAGAAGAGTTTTCTGGCAATTTTTACAACATTTTGACCAGACCATTTGGGATTATTCTAAGAGTTTGATTTTCCATCGACGACTTTGAGTTTCTGATTTATTTCTCAACAACTTGAAAACGAATTTTAAACCTCTCTGTGTTGGGAGAAAGCAAGCCATACATTCGACCTAAAATTGTCCTTTGATCTTAAATTTAAGTAATTGGCCAACGCACGGGCTGCCCGTGCGAAGATGCGTTTTTTGCAGAGTTCCCCACAGTTTTTG